AGTTCCAACCCCCTGCTGCGGGCAGGGACACCCTCTGCTAGACCAGGCTGCCCAAAGCCCCATCCAACCTGGCCTTGAACACTTCCAGGGAGGGGGCATCCACAGCTTCTCTGGGATGTTCCAGTGCCTCACCACTCTAACAGTAAAGAATTTCTTTCTAACATCTAATCTAAATCGACCCTCCTTCAGCCTAAACCCATTACCCCTTGTCCTGTCACTACACTCCCTGATAAACAGTCCCTCACCATCTTTCCTGTAGGCCCCTTCAGGTACTGATAAGTCGCAATTAGATCTCCCCGGAGCCTTCTTTTCCCCAGGCTGAACAATCCCAACTCTCTCAGCCTGTCCTCATAGCAGAGGTGCTCCAGCCCTCTGATCAGCTTCATGGCCCTCCTCTGGACTCGCTCCAACAGGTCGATGTCTTTCCTGTACTGGTGGACTTGGCAGTGCTAGGTTAACGGTTGGACTTGATCTTAAAGGTCTTTTCCAACCAAAACGATTCTATGATTCTAAGTCTTGCATGTCGCATGGGGTATTACGACAGCACCACTGTGCCCTGCTCAGTGGTCCAGCCTGTCCCAGCTCTACTCTGCCCTCCCTGGGTCCTCAGGACGTCTGCCTTTGTCCCTCCTCAGACTTGAGGAGACTTGTGCTACATGTACATGTCTCTGCCCTGTCAGCCAGACCCTTCCTCCACACACTCAATGTATTTTGGAAAGTGAGAGGAGCAGAGACCAGCCCCACCATGACATTACACCAACAGCTCAATGCCTGACTGCCTGATGTGAGAACCTGCTCTGGGGAATCTGGTTTAGGTAGAGGGCCAAGAGGTGAAATGAACTGATGAGATACTATGTTATGTCTCCACCTTTTGCCAACAGACCAAAGTTTGACTCCTCCTTTTTCCTCACAGGGCAGGAGCCACCTGAACCATGAGAAAGAAATGTTTGCCCAGGACCACCCCAGTGTGAACACGCTGGAAGAGGTTGTGCAGAAAGTGAAGCCTACGGCAATTATAGGTGGAGTTCCCTTAGTACAACCTTTTCACATCAATTCAGTTCCTAGGAGAGTTTTTATCTTTCCTCCAGGGCCTCCTTTTGTTCTCCAAGTCAAAATGAAATGAGCTTTTTTTACCTCCATTTTGTCAGTTGTTTTCTCCACATCCTTTCCCCTTCGACCGTGTCTTCCTCTCTTTTGGAGCTGAGGAGCCCTCCCAGAGAGGGCTGCAGGGGGATGTGCTGCGGGAGGCAGGATCTGGGGCTCTTGGCAGCGAACCTGGCCCTGGCAGGCTGGGCAGGGCACGGATGGCACCAGGCACCTCAGGCAGGACTTTGGGAGGAGAAGTGCTGAGCCTTTGGGAGGTGAAGTGCCACAGCCAGACTGGCCTAAACACTGACCCAGAGGAGCAGAGGGTTTTATTTTGAGACAGGCTTTTCAATCTTGCCGTAATATGAAAAAGAAACATTCCCACCTGCATCTCCAGAGATGGAGCCTGTTCCCTCCCACAGTTCATTTACCGATTCAAGAGGGATCAGCCCAATGCGCCGAAGTCAGTCGGGAAGCCCCCTCTCATTCTGCTGTTGTTGTTTTAGGTGTCGCAGCTGTTGCAGGAGCTTTCACTGAGAAGATTTTGAAGGACATGGCAGCCTTCAATGAGAGGCCCATCGTGTTTGCCCTAAGCAACCCCACAAGTAAAGCGGAGTGCACAGCGGAGCAGTGCTACCGCCTCACCGAGGTACTGGAGCTCGGCGCAGGGAAGCAAGCTGTGGCCATGACCATACCAAGGAAACCACAGTGGTGCATGGTGGGCGGACAAGTGACAGTGGGCATAAGTTGAAACAAAAGAGGTTGAAGCAGGTCATAAAGAAAAACTTGCATGCTGTGAGGAGAGTCAGGAGGTGGAATGGGGGCTCAGACTGCTCGTGCAGGTTTTCAAGACCAGACTGGATAAAGCCCTGCACAACGTGGTCTGATTTCATAGCTGACCTTGCTGTGAGCAGGAGTTTGGGTCCCTACCAGCCTGAATTACTTTGTGATCCTCTAAAGAACACACTTGCCTTCTTCACCCACAGCTGTCTGAGGTGTCCCATCCTCCCGGGTTACTGTCCCCTGTGTTTTGCCACCCTAGTTGTTTGTGTAATAGTTTCATCACCCACCTTGGGCTCAATGTCACTGAAGAATTATTGTCATGTGGATTGACTTGGGGTGAGAGAGGAGACCTTGTCTCACTCTCCCCTTTGTCCTCCACCACCACCTGCTGCTGGCTAAGGCACTCACAGCTCCCAGACCTTTATCCCACGAGTCCCTCTTTGCACTCAATAGATGGTTGATAGAGTGGAAGAAAAAGGATTCCTCAGCAAGTTCAGAGCACTTGGCAGTTGGGCAGTGCAAACACCCGTTCAGTGCTCAGTGGCCGTGTCCATGCCCTGTCCGTGGCCCTGTCCGTGGCCCTGTTTGTGGCTCTGGGGACCAGGCCCTCCAGAATTATCAACGGGAGATGGCTCTGGTAGAGATGCTTCTCACTGACTGGCTGGAGATTTGTCCACTTGGTCACCAGAGTCCCCTGAGCATAGATCATGACAAGCAGAGGAAATGTAAGATGTCTCTTCTGAATTTGGATGCCTCTTTCTCTCTCTTATCAGGGACGAGGAATATTTGCAAGTGGGAGTCCATTCTCAAAGGTAACCCTGCCCAATGGACAGACCTTCTTCCCTGGCCAAGGAAACAACGCCTACGTCTTCCCAGGAGTGGCACTGGGAGTCATTGCTTGTGGAGTCCGGCACATCTCTGATGATATCTTCCTCATCACAGCAGAGGTTTCCAACTGGCATTTAACTGATATTTTGTAAAAAGATTGTAAGAGGCACATGCACCTACTTCCAGTGTTTTCAAGAACCTGGCCTGGGGCTGTGCCTTGAGTGGAAATGACACAGCCTCAGCAAAAATCCTCAGCCTTTCCCAGTCCCAGGGAAAGTTCAAGCTTCCATTGCACCTAGAAAGGTGCAGGAGCCATGGCAGGGTTCTCTTCATTCTCCACAACTGATGCCCTGGCACAGCAGTTCCATCATTCTGGCTCTTGATTTAAGTCTGTAATGAAATGTATACACACGTATTTGCAATAGTTCAGCAGTTCCCATTGAGAAGTAGTCCCAGCTCCACCGCTGCGGAGGTTTAGCCACGTTATTGTGTAATGCTAGTGAATGTGGTATGTGCTTGAGACCATCTCTAAAAACTGCCTTTCTCTTCGTTCTAGTCTATTGCTGCCGAGGTGACAGAGCGGAATCTCGCAGAAGGAAGACTCTATCCCCCCTTGGACAGCATCAGAGAGGTGTCTCTCAAAATCGCTGTGAAGGTGAGTACTCCTTTATTTCCACTTTCCATGGTAGGGAGGGCAGGAATTGCCCTGGCATCATTCTTGCTTTGTGGGTTTTTTAATTCAGCTTTTTTGCAGCCTAAAGCAATGATTCTCAGGAATCCTTCCAGCCAGAATTGCTGCTTTGATTTTTCCTATCACGAAAGCCCAAATTTGAAAAATACCTCCTGATTCTGGGTGCCTCACAGCTCACGAAGTTCTGCTTTATTGCTTCGAGCTGTGAGTGCTCAGCTCTTCAAAAAAAAAACAAGTTTAGGGTTGAATTCAAACATGAAGCAAGTTGCCAAAAGATTTTAGGTTCCAAATATTGCTATTTTGGAACCTCTCCTCCTGAATTTGATAGAGGCCTGAGTACCTAAATACTATTCCAGATCTGAGCTTGTTGTCTAATTGTGGGATCAGTGCCCTCTGTACATCAAATTTGTGATTCCCATTCAGGGGACACCCACTGAGAATCATGTCGGCCTGCTAGGACTTACTGACGGATGCACAGTGTAGGAGCTCGAGGGTGTGAGGGGAGGTGGGTAAAGGGCTGCTCTCCTTCTTTACTTGTACGCTCCAGCCGTTTTGCCATGGCAGGGGTGTGCATTTCTAAGCAGCCAGTAATTGCAGGCAGCTTGCATTCCCTCACCCAAGGGATGAAGTGCAGCTGACTCAGGGAATTGCACAAAGAGAAAAAGGCAAAAAAAAGACACAATTTTGAGGGGAGGAAAGAGGGAAAATACAGCCATGGCCAAGCTGCAGTTGGTTTCAACTTCATAATGTGCCAACGTTGTTTCATCAGCTCATTTTGCTTATTTTTTTGCAGATTGTTGACTGGGCCTACAAGCATGGTCTTGCTTCTTGGTACCCTGAGCCAGCAGACAAGGAAGCCTTTGTGAAACGGCTCGTTTACAGTCCTGATTACGATTCATTTGTTATTGATGATTACAGGTGGCCCCCCACAGCCATGCAAACACAAGATGTATAAGTTTTTGTGAGAACTGTTTTGTCATTTTTACCATCAGTTCCCATGGTTCATATCATTGCTGATATAATTGCACCGCCAGGCTTGCAGAATGATAAAAGTAAATGAATCCAAGTAGTTTTTTACTTGCTGCTGGTTTTTCTCTGTGGGAGCATATCAGTAGGGAATAAAACAGAGTCCAAGCTGGGCAGCCAGTACTCCAAGGAGAGAGACAGCCTATGGTTGCAGCCCATCCCATATTGCTGCTTGCTTAAAAAACTGCGTGGCGCTCGGCTCTGGGAGAAGTGACCTGGGCCACCTCGGAAGCAAGGAGTCCCGTTCCTAGCGGGAGTGCCTGCGGGAAGCTGGGAGCCCCACTTCCATGGGGGCAGCTGTACGCGTGATCATCCCTCACACACGACAGCCAGACTTTGTCCGTGGCTCTCTGGGTGCGATGGGAAGTGTGTGCATTGCCCTGGGAGAGGTGCACACTTGGGCAGCACTACCCTTTCCTGCTTCAAAAGTCCCCAATGTCTGGGGAGCCTCGTGCAACCCAAGCTGGTGCATGGGCCACACAGCCCGGCACTGTCCTGTGTCCCACCGCTTGAGAACAAACCCCAAAACCTCCCTCAGCCCCACAGGGACAACAGATTCCCTCCCCTCTGCAGTCCAGGCTGCTCTCCATGGGCACGGCAACCAAGGGACGCACAGCAGGCAGCTGAGCCAGAGACCAGGGCGCCCCCGAACCTGCACACGGCTGCCCCACTGTATCACTGCATCTTCTGCTAGAGGAGTACTGCCACCAGCCAAAGGCTCTCCTGGGGGTCTCTTTGTGTCACAGAGTCCCAGGGAGGCCTCCCCTAGCCCTGCAAAACTGTCACGCCCCACCAGTACTATCCCAATGGGATGACGGTGTTCCTGACTGCAAGAACAGATGGGCTCGCTGGCAGCTCTTCCCTTCCCGGTTCTCGCCGCTCACACACAGCAAGGCCAAGGCTGGTTGCCACAGTCTTTATTTAGTATCTTTTAGTGGCTTTTAGCATCAGGAAAAGCATCTTGTCCCTTTTCTGATGAGCCACAGTCTCTCCAGTGTCCGTGTGCTTGTAATGCCAGCACCCTTCCCGCTCCTCGCATAGGTAGGGCTTCTCACCTAGGCTAAGGAAGGAGGGAGAAAGCTGTCAGGTTCAGGGAGAGACAATGAGAAATGCATTTCCTGAGCAAGAGACCCTGAAACTGAGGTTTTCTTGCCTTTTCCATGGCTTGTGGAAAAGCATGTCTGCTTTTGAGAAGGGAGGTAGGAGGGTGGCAATTAATTTGTTTTTGTCTCAGGTGCCTACACAGCTTCTTTTCTTTTCTTCCCTCTTCCCCTTCCTGTGCACCTCCCCACTGCTCAGTCAAAGGCTTGACCTTTCTGTGTGTTCAGCTTCTGGGCTTGATTTCTCAAATATTAGACAACAGTGAAAAAGAAAAAAAAAAAGAAAGAAAAAAATAGAGAGAGAATGCCTTATAGGTGGAGCCATGAAGAGAGAAATTTTTCCTGAACAGCCTGGGCGCATCGGGGAGTTTTCAGCCAGTCTCATGACAGTCTTCTCTTCAAACACTGCCAGCAAGAAAAGCTTCAGGCTCCCACCAATGAAGCCAAAGACAAGATGCTTTTTGACAGGTGGCTTGAAAGTCTTAATTCTTCACTATTCCAGAAATAAGACTTCCAGAAGCATGGTTGTTGTGGTTTAACCCC